CTTTATGTTAAGAGGTCTGTTGTATAAGCTTGTGGCTTCTTGACCTCTCCTGACACATTCCATGTTTTTCATTATCTGGATTTACTGCAATCTTATGTGTGTGCAAATAAAATAAAAAAATAAATAAAAATAAAATAAAAATATTTATCAAAATAAAATGAAATAAAATAAAAATAAATAAATAGAATAATATAGAAGTATTTATAAAAATAAAATAAAATTAAGAATAAAATAAAGATATTTACAAAATAAAAATAAAACAGAAATATTTATAAAAATAAAATGAAATTCTACATGTTATTTATTTTATCATTACTTTCTGTTTTATTTTTTATTTATGTTAGCCAAGTTCTTTTGGTCCATTGTATCAACCTGCGGCTTCTTGACCTTTCCTGACATATATCTTGTATTTTACTATTTGGATTTTATGTAGTCTTATGTGTGTGCAAAAACAAACAAACAAACAAACAAAAAAAAAAAACAAAAACAGAAAGTTAACAAAAAAAAAAAAAAATCATTTAAATAATAAAACCCCTCAGGTTTCCTTTTCACTATCAAAATAAAACCTCTGGCCCGATTCATAACATCTTCTGATGACACAAGCGATCAACTTTCTCATCAGTAACAAAGTGAAGTAACAGCAGTGGGCAAAAAAAAAGAAAGCAAACTTCCAGCCCAATATGCCCATTTACGGTCAGTCAGTGTTCCACGAGCTTGTTAAATAAATCAGAGGGTCTCCAGAGAGGAAAGCAAAACATTGGAGGCTCCTTCTAAACTCAGCTTCACCAAACAGTTTGGGTCCAAGTGAAAGTCTCTTTAGGTATGCACTCTGGACTGTAGAGCAGACTCATGTCCCTCTGGCTAACGCTTTGCAAAACTGGAACAATACTTAGGTACTATCTGCCTTATGTGATCAAACGTCAGTCCCACAATGTCTCCAAACCAATATTGAGGATTTCATCATATTTTAGTGACAATAAACTAAACATAGAAAATCATTTAATGGCTCATGGATTTTTCATCCTTGCGCACAGAGCCGGTAGAAGAGGGCAACAAATGACATCAGCATTCATTTATGGTGAAGATACACATCAACAGGCTGGCTGTATGTTGACTGATGGTGACGATATCCATAGTAAAAGTCTCTTTGCAAAAGTGTATTTCTCAGTTTTACTACCAAAATCAATCAATGCCTTTTGACATCACCAATAATGAATCAGCTTCACCTCATGCACAGTTGTAGGGCTGTGGCTAATGATTATTTTCATTATTGATTAATCTGTTGATCATTTTCTCAATATTTACACTAATTGTTTTATCTATTAAATGTCAGAAAATAGTGGAAAATGCCAGTTATAACTTCCCACATCCCAAGGTGACGTTCACATAGACGCTTGTATTTTTGCTTCACAATTTACAAAACTGATTATTTGATTTTCATAAAAGTTGCCAATTCATTGAAGTAAATCGACTAATCGCTGCAGCTCTGCACAGTTGATACAATAAGTGGAGACGGTTTCTCTATTCTCAAAATCAAAATCCTTTCTCCACCAGCTACTGTACACATCCCCCTCTACAGTACATTCCCACCCTCTCAGACTCTGGGATAGAACATGCCATTCTCTTTCTCCCTCTCTATTTCTACCCCCCCCCCTGTTTCCCCCTGCTCGCAGTGAGCCACAGAACATGTGGTGTATTTATTTGTTTTTTGGCTGTTGTTGGCTTGAGGTGGATGTTCCCAGCAGCAGCAGCGTTTGTCTCTCTGACTGGCAGCCATACCAGAGCGGGTGGGTTTTACTGTCATATAAGACGCAGTGATAAACGATTGATGAACCAGTGTATTGAATGTAGAGAGACGGGATAGACCCCTTTAACAGAGAAGAGGGAATTAAATAGTAGGGCTGTACCGAATAGTTTGAAGCTTCATTCACAGCACTGACATTCAAATTCTAAATCAACATTTGAATGCTGCGTAGTTTGTTTTTTTTCCTTGCATGTCGATTCCCTTTGTTTAAACCTGTTAGTTCTGCACAGTTGCAGATCAAGATTAGGCTACACTAATATTACTATTACAGTATTATACTATTTGTTGAATGAGGTTCCAGTGGTGGCTGCGTGGGATTGTTTCCAACTCGTGTGATCCAAACACTTCCCATAACTCCAGAGTGCTGTCCATGAAAAATCATTTCAGAAATTTACAACATGTTTTCATTGAACTAAATATTCTGCTTCAATCCATATTTGTTTGCTTTTGGGCTCAGATTCAGAATACTTTACAGATCCCCCAGTGGAAATTGGGAGACATTACGGTTGCTTTTAACTATTTAGATATAGAAAATGAAAGTAGTGTGCCTCATGCTTCAATAAAACACAATGCATACATATAAATATAAAAATATAGGGAAAGTATAAGAAAATATAAAAACATAAGAAGAGATACTTTGTGTAAAAAACAGAATTTTTGATCTTGCTTTTGTTTGCTTTCCAGACTGCTGCATACAAAGGGAGGCACGTACCTGTGTTGACGGGGCGGTCCAACAACAATCTTATAGCCCCATAACTTATATTCATTCACTGAAGATGTGGATTCAATTAAAAAAAGACTAACTCATCTAATCCAATGAATCTCTTTATTCAATTTGAGGATTTGTTTGGTGATGGCGTCATTCATAAAATATGACAACTAACATTTGAAGTTTCATTCAAAAAACCTAAAGAGAAGCTTCAAATATTAAACAAGCGTGAATTTGCAATAGCTGCGACCATGTACAGGCACGCATCAATGTGGTGGCCCTTTTTGCTAACTGGCGTAAACAGCCAATCAGCTGTCCTTTGGCTCACGACCAGTCTATCTCCACAACAAATTTCAGCCTCTTAAGGCAAAAAGTGTGGCTGTCAAAGGGTGGGGAACTTTATGTGGACTGACCGACCAATCAATCAATCAATCAATCAATCAATCAATCAATCAATCAATCGAAAGAGCAAGCTATTAGAGCTGGTCACAGCTAAAAATGACATTCTGTACAGCCCTGTTAAACAGTTCAAAAAATTCTGCCTTAAATAAAAGGCAAGGTAACCAACTAACTATTCTTTTTATTGTGAAGTAGTCCTTGGTTCTCCTGCCCTACAGTAACAATATATCAACAAACATAGCCACAATCGTGCACACATACATGCATGTGCACAATTACTTTTTTAAAATCATCTGATAGGTCAGACAATCTTTCATGAAGAGTCGACTCCTGACCCAAATAACCTAATCAAACAGCCTAGGCAAGGTGTAATTATTTTCTACCACACTGCACTCAGAAGTAAAGACGGACTGGTAACTATCCACAGATATAAATCATCTCCATACAGTAGATTCATTATTTTAGAAACATCCAAGGTCACAGTATATGAACAAATCCAATGCCACATTAGGATGAGTGTGGAAAAGCACGCCTGTGTGGTGCACACTCACTCTCCTTCCCATTTGCTCTCCAGAGGAAATCAAAGGCAACATTCAAGGACACAAATCATCAAACTGAGTGAGGAAGGTGGTGGTGACAAACAGGAAATGCTACAACACAAATTTGTGGTGGGTGTTTTTCTTTTTTTTCATTCAAAGACGGTTTGAAAGAAGAGAAAAGAAGAGAAACAACATACCCACCAAAGAACATCAGATTTAGAAGATATTTTTGAGATACATCCTCTGCCCCACTTTCTCTCTATGTTAGACAGGAGATCTGTATCCCCAGTGCAACTTGTCACTGATACTGCTTTTACCTGCGACTACAAATGTTGTTGTATGTGCAGCAACAAGAAACACATTTTGGAAAGATTTAATTGATGTAAACCTTCTGTACAAGGGTCTCTAAGGGTGGAGAACTGATCAGTCGACCAGTTTGTGGTCAGCTGGATCAAAGCTGATCAGATCCGTGGATTAGAGGAGCAGCTGCTGCAGAGACGAGTGAAAGCAACCTTTTAGACCAAGCACTGGACCATGAGATGTGCTTTTTCCTTGAGAACGCAGCGGTATCTAACGTATGTGAGTGTGCTGCCTTTCTGCGCTCCAAGCATGTGGAATTACTGAACAGTATACATACTCAAACAGTCCAATGAACAGTCCAGCACCAAATGTAGAATGTCAATATGCAGCAGAGAATGTTGATGTTGCGAGAGGCTGCCAGAACTAATGAATGTGTGGAGAACCCTGCGTACAGTGATGGTGTGGTTACATGGCCGTCTGTTTTGCCTTCCCAGCTGCGGCACTATTCCTCAGTTCTGGTCCAATTTAAAAACTGTTGCTCCCATTAGACACAGAAACTTGGAAAAACAGGGTCCAGGTTGAAAATGACCAAAGTTTCCCTTCAAGTTTGGTGAGTTAAAGTATCATAAGCAGGTTAGAAAATAAACTGCTACAGGCTCACCTCTGGCACTGACACCTGCCTCACTTGAGAGAAACATGAGGACATTAACTGACGATAAGAGCGACTACACCCTCAGATCTGACCCAAGCTCACAAGGCGAAGCTCTGTCGATTGCAGAGGAGGAAACTGCAAAAGCAGCACTTGGACTGAATTACAGGGAAAATGACAGGAGTCAAGCTTCACTTGACCAAACAGATTTTCCTAAGTTCTGGAAAAATGGAAATATGACTCCTCTGCTTATGCAAAACCTAAACAAGGATGCAGAGCGGTGAGCGGCATTTTGCCTAAATCCCAAGAAACCACAGATCCGACTGTGCAGGCAGGATCTAGTTAACAAGACTGAGAGGGAGTTTTACAGGAACATTTCTCACAAGACAGGGGGAACCCCCCTTAAATAAACTCCCTTTCAGACTATTAATCCAACCAGCGTCATTAGAAGCCACCACGACAAAACCACTCCATTGTGCATAGGGGCTAGACGGCTAATTAAATGAGTCACATGTTGGGAAATATCCCCGAGAGGACACAGACGTCTCTCTTTGTGTATGGCTTGTTTCTGTGATGGCCTGTCAGCAGCCGCTCTCTTACCTGGACTTGTCCTTTTCCCATGATCTTGTCCACAATCTCGTTGTCATCCTTATTCAGCATGCTTTTGTCATAACACTTCTCATAGCACAGGATCCGCAGGTACTGGGAGCCCTCCAGCTCAATCTCGAACTCCTACACAACAACACAGAGAGAGATGAGGAGATTAGAACATTTTTATTGCAGTAATGACAGTAGCAATGTAGAGTAAAAGGTCTGTGTGACAGACTTCGTTCCACTGAGGCTCTGTGGTGTCTCTGAAGACGCGGGTCTTGGCCTTGCTGACAAAGTATCCAAAGGAGTCCACTTCAAGGGTGCAGTATAGATCTAGGAGGAGACACAGAAGGTAGACAAATCCATCAAGAAAACTGACCACTAAAAAACATTTAGGCTTGTGACATGCATGTAATTTTATGAGAAATAATAACTGTGTTTCTGAAACATATGCTTTGTGACACCAGAGTGAAACAATACACATCTGTCAATCACAGTTTTATCATCTTGTAGTAAAAGTCCAGCCATTATAACAGACTTTTAGTGGGTAATGATGTCATTGTTTGGAGATAATGTCTTTTCATTAAAGTCAAACATAATTATAGGTCACTTGTATGTCTTGTTAATTAAAGTTTCTTGACACTTAAAGCAAAAACAGACAAATACTGATCCAGCTTTGGCAAATGCAGCACAGAAGTACTTTCATTCAGTTGGCTGCACCACTCTTTAGATCAGGGCTGCAACGGTATGAGATAACCGTACGAGAACAGTCTCAGAAAATATTGTGGTTTCACAGTATCACTCTATTACAGAATTTATATTTTTATCAGACTGACTGTCCCTTAAAGGAATGAAAACAAAAGGTTTTTTGTTGCTTGAACAAATGTTTTATTACAATAATTGAAAGTAAAAAGCCTCCCCTTTGAAAACAGAGATTCTCTGTCCAGTTGCATTTATTCCCCCAATATCGTAGGTAAGCAAATGTACACAATATGATAACTGTTGACTTTTTTATCACGGTATACCTTCAAACTGGTATATCCCTGCAACCCTACACTAGATTAGTGTATTTGTAAGACACATAAGTTTAGAGCTGAAACAATAAGTTAATTAGTTTAGGTTGCCATTGGCAGTCATGTTGAGCCTTTGGTTGCCATCACTGGCTACCACTTTTTAACATATAAAAAATAGGGACAGCAAAACGTGCACTACATTTAACTGGGACAGATGGTTGGTCACCTATCATACATCTCGCCTCCCTCCACTGGTTGCCAGTTAACTTCAGACATGGTTTAGTCCCCAGTTACAAAACTAAGCTTCTGACTACTTATGCTCCAAGTCGTGACCTGAGATCCTCAAGCCTACCCTCGCTAGTCGTCCCTTGATTGAGGTTGGTGACTAAAGGTGACCAGGCCTTTGCCATCAAGGCGCTGAGGCTCGGGAAATTCTCTGCCTGAATTCTCTCCCTTCTTTTGTTCTATTGTTGCCTCTATACACACTATTTATTCAGCTCTTCTTAAATACTGTATTGTTATCATTGTGTTATTTTCATGTGTTTGTGAAGCGCTTTCTAACCTTTTTCAGATAAGTGCTATACATGTAAAATTATTATATTACTATTATTATAAAATGAATTAATTTTCGACATTAATTTCATTAGCTGTTGTTGTTACAGTCAGAATCAGAACCAGAAATTGCTGCACACACATCAGTGCATTTATTCGTCCTTTAAACTACTAATTATTTTCTTGGTTAATCAATTAATCGTTCAGCGAAAATGGCCCAAAAATTTCCAGTGCCCAAAATGTTTTGTCAAACCAACAGTTCAAAAGACATTTTTGCTTTAAAAGTTACTTTGAGTAATTAGGATACTGTGCAGTCATATATCAGCTTAATATTGAAAATGTGACTGAATGTTTAAAGGCTTTATTACGATACCCAGTAAAAAAATTGTAGCTTTGTTTTCTTCAATAAAAAAGAAGAAAATTGGGTCAGATCTGATACCCAACACAGATCCATTTACACAAGTACATGCACCAATGCAAGTGCAACATTGTCTGGTTATGGTCCTGACTGTAACAGTGACATTTAAATAAAAAACTGAGTGAATCTGAGTTTGGGGTGCACGTTTTGCTATTTGCAACCTGGCAACCGTTACTGTTGAGCCATGTAATACATTTTTGAATTAATCGTTCCTCATTCTCAAGAGGAAATGCTCGAAAGTTGAATTTCTAAAGGTTTTCACAGTGACAGTGAGTGAGTGTCTGATTGTGGTATCAGATTTGTAATGAATGTGCACTTAAAAGTTAAAAAGGTTACGTTCCATCAAAGTGAACAAGCTCTTTAAATTGTCGATAAGTTGTAGTTTGACGCACATCAATCTCCTGCCTGTGTACACATCATTTAGCACCAGCAGACCCTCATACCACAGCCGCCGCTCCCCTGGGATCAGCTCACACTCAGTTCTTCCACGGAGCAATTAAGGCTGTTAATGTGTTTCTTTAAATGCTGCTGCCTGTGGCGGTTCCTGCAGACCTCGCTGCCGGCTGTCTGTAAAGTGTCAATACTACGTCCCGCAGCCTGGACCTGGTCCCTGGGGTTAACCTCCATCTGACAGCATGATGGATGGATGCACTGCTCGACCTTTCACCAGGAGAGTCACCACGATTAGGTAAGGGAGCCAGAGATAGCGGCGGGGGAGCTGGTTGAATCTCATATGCATATTGCAGAATGACAGAGAATATGTTTACACTGCAACATCAGAAACAACAGCCTGACAGGAGCCTTGGTTAACACCATGGAGAGATACAAAGCATTCCACCTGGGTGAGCCAGGACACATATGTGGCCATATAACAATCACTAACAGGACTATACAGTAAAATGGAGTCTCATTCCATCTGGTTTCATTCCTGCTTTGTTTGTTTTCTCAGCATCCTGAAAGGCTCTGACACAATTACTCCCAATGAGGAAGAGATTAGTGCTGCTGGTACGCGGGAAGTCCAGCGGAGAGGAATGCAGTGTGACCATCTGGGGGATATTCATAAAAATGAGGCAGTTATGGTACGCTTCCGCTACATACCGAAGCGTAAAAGCTGGAAGGCTGCCACCTCTGCTTTGATGTCTGGCATCCCAAAAACACAAACTACCTGACAGATGGGGGAAGGTTTGGGGTGATGTTTTTGACATATCAAAACTAGGGTTGTAACAGTTGTGCCAAACTGTCACGGCACAGAAGTTTGGTGTATCCAACCACATGCAGAATACACAGTATGTAGGCCTATGAAAATAATGTGGAACCAGTGGTCACAAGTGCGAGTTCCACTATGCTATCAGCAACATATGATGTTAGCACAACAAAGCCTCCAGGAACAGCACTGGGCTTCGAAGCCAATTTGACATAGTGACCAAACTGTGTAACTACAACTTCTGGGTCCATCACGTGATGCCATGTGGTCCACAGAGATGTTTTCCCATAGATTTATATTATGAAAAAGACATCTGTAAATTAGTGGAGATGTTTTTGAGCGTCACAACCCCTACAAAATGACTTCTTTCACTATTGGGATTTGATCCATTCAGTCTGATAACATTTTGAAAGTCTAGAAGAGCTGCACAATTACATGATCTAATCCCCATTCAAGATACCAAAGGGCTAATCCCAAAGTTTGCTGCTCTGCTGGCGGAGTCTCTAGTGCGCCTACTCTATGGGCCGAAGGATGAACATGGCCCCTACACCAAAGCTGTATCCAGTTCACTTTACACATCCATGAGCACTACAAGCTGCTGAGCGTTAGTAGGTCACACTTTAGTGAGCACAAATGAAATGCCAGAGCAAGAAGATATGCCTGCAGGTTCCCAGTCAGCTACAACAGCAACAGGGGGAGAGAGTCGTCAATGGAAACACATCCAAAATGCTAATGCACATTGAACAGCATCACCTGATGTGCCGATCAGTGGGACAAGGAATAAACAAACTAGAGACCAACTCCTTATCCCGACTGCTTTAAAGCAGCCTTTAGACACAAAAGCAGAACAACACTGAAGCATTTGGCATAACACTGACAAACAGCCAAGGTGGAACTACTTGTAACACTCCTCTTACTGTACTGGTTTAAGCTAGAAGGGCTGAAAAACTATTGTGTTTGTGTTGTTTTTTTCCCCTAAACATTTGTGCAAATTCTTGTGTGATGGCACATTGTAGAGACATGAAATCTTCATTAATGATTGGATGTTGTGACCAAATACTGCCCATAAAATACGATCAGAATCGGCCTATTGGGGGGCGCACATCCCTCACTCCACAAGTCCGACTGGCGTGAAATTCAACACACACGTACAGCTTAATGTACTCTACAAAGACGGCTCAAGAACGCGTCTGACTAGATTTTCCGCCATTTTAAGATTGCTCAAAGGGGGGCGCCACAAGTTCCAAACAGGTGCACTAGCCTGGCACAAAACTTAGTCATAAATTAATGATGACACTAATCTTTGTCCAAATGTCACTAAACTTGGTGATATTTACTTCAAAAGGTAATCTTGGACATATTGAGACTACAAGAAGCACAGCTAGAAAGAAAATGTGAGAAATGGACGCTATACAAGACTCAAAATGACAACACTGGACTGGAATAATATTCAATAGATACACTAATCCTTAAGGCTGTAAAAATGTGTGTTTACTGAAGCAGTTTTTGTTTTGTCAGCTCTTATTATTTTTCAATTATTTAATTATTTTATTATGCTGTTGTAACCGACATGTCAACGTCACAAAAATTGTTCTAATAAAGATTTAAGTGAAGAAAAGGGAACTTTAAAGGGTCTTGATCCATCGCAGCTTTCGACTTCTAACGGTCCGTGTTGACTTAAACAACTGACTCACCACATGTTGCTATGTTTGTATTTATTTTGTATTTTCAGTTTCAACCAGACTTCTGTGTACCGTTTAGTACCTAGTTTACACTGGGATGCAAATCAGTTTAGCACTGTTTTGTGAATACAAAACAGCTGTTGGTTGTGTTCAATTTAGAAAGAAAAAGTACCAGTAGTCAGGGCATTTGTTTGAGACACTACAGTGATTCAAACTGCTCTTTTCATCTAGCCGCAGAGAAGAAGAGAGTGTATTCATAGTCCTGAGCAGCTCCCACTTTTCTCTGGAAGCTTATTTCCTCTCCATGTGAAATGGGTTTCAACCTAAAATTCAAACAAGGCCAGGGAGAGCATATTTAGAGACTTTTTGTGTCCTCACAGTGGATCCAGGAGGGCTCCGAGAAGTAGGACAGACTAAAAGAGGCCTGGAACTCCTTATGTTTTTATCTTCCTGGCAGGTCACCA